AGATATATGAAAAGTATAGCAAAATGTTGTCATATAACACCAACTCAGTCGACTATAACCGGCAGTTCCAACGTTCCCTGCCTTCACTCATTCCTTTAAATAGGTCCGTCAATCCTGTTGAAATAAGAGGCTCAAGTTGTTGCGTTAAAGCGAGTAAAATGCCCAATATCAGCTATGTATAGTATTGGCATATTACATTTAAACTGAAGAGCTTGACTAGGCGGTATATTTTAATTTGCAAGAGAAGCAAGCTTGTGTAGAATCTTTCTTCCCAGTCATTGCTGGACGAATCTTTTTCTACGTATATGGGACACAAAAAGCGCTTGTTTATATGTTAGAGGCGGGATGGATTGAATCCCAAAAGGGTAGATGAATGAGACCTCGGATTTTATACATTTTCTGTAGGTAATTGTCATTTGTTTGTATGGAGCCGGGATCGATTTTTAACCGTGTTCTTGATCAACACGGGACCTTTTTTTGGTCATATAAATGCTCAAATTTTTCAACATCCATATAGTAAACCTGTCAAAATCAACCGGATATAAATAAATGTAGCAACGTTCTAATCAAAATCACAACAGCATTGCAAACAAAACGATAGGTGGCAGTCAAAGTTCTTGCTACCAGCTGTAATTTCTTGTTCGAATCAAATACAAAGCAACAAATATGCCATACCGAAAGCAAGATTTCTACTGTCGGAATTTCTTACAATGCTCACACGATGAAGTACGGATGCCGCGAAAGACAAATGCTTTGTTAAATCAAGTCTGAGGAGACGTGATATGATGGTTTTTATTCTCAGTTACTTTTTGTCACTGTGTAAAAAGTCATATAAACGTGGGACGTATACAACCCGTATTGGGAACATCCCGTACTACCTTCCGATATAAATAGTAAATATTATACTGCGTGTTCTTTTTGCATTCGAGCCTAGTGTTGCTGCTGAACACTACTGTCAAAGTCTATGTCAAAAATTTCATTTTCTGATGAATCCACCGATGAAGATGCCAACCTAAATAAGGCCAATTTTTTTAAAAAAGGACGCTATGGATAATTTAAAGCAGATAGTTTGTCTTGAATTGAATAGAAAGGTGCGAACTGTGTTCCTTACATGACGTCACGACATGAACTTGATACCAGACCCCTTAGTGAAAAATATATACGGTAAATTTGGATTTTTAACAGCAATTTTGCAAAATAGATTAAATGTAAATCAAATTTATTTTTTCAATTTCTTAATTTCAAGAGTTGTTCTTTCAGACAATACTAAAATCCTGCAAGGTTTTTATGCACTTTCAGATGGCTTTATGCTGCATAATATTGTGTCATTGTAAATATGAAGTAATAAGCTTCCATATTGTGTTATCGTGGAGATGGAGTAGAAATTATTTTCTGATATTTGATGAAATAAAAGGACATTTCGAACAATAAAAACTTATGACAGTAAACCAGAACTTCTTTATATTTCGGCATAAACAAATGTTTTGTTGACATTTGATTTTAAAGTTCAGGTTCAGCCTTATTTGCTTGGTGTGTAGGTTAATAAGCATAGTTGGTTGTAAAATATTAAATAATGGTTTGTTCTAATGTTTTATCCTGTTTTGAAAGGCACATTATAGAATATATTTAAAGCATTATTTATGTCGTGTTATTTTGTTCTTCTCCTTTTTTAAGAGGTCCAGTAGAAATGATGGAATGTGGTTGTATGTTAATCCTGGTTAAATTTTTTTAAAATTCTTCTCAAAAGTGAGTTTTTTTGTGAAGAAAATGTTCCAATTAACCATATTCAGATTAATTGCTTTCAGTCTTCAGTTTAATATCTGTGCATGTTTCATAATATTTCACCCTGTTCATTGTTTTACTTGACTAGTTTCAACTGCTGATGATCCTTAATATATAAGCGACCAGTGTATTGGCGTTATTGTATGTTAACAGCAAATATTTTGAAGTTATGGTTTGAGAAATCCATAACGTTTTCTGGGTATGTGAGTTATGCATGACGTCATAAATTTTTGACTTACGTTTAAAAATCCTGAGATCCGCCCATTTGTTCAAAAGTGCTAATATATAATTCAAAGATATGAATTTTGAAGGTTTTCATATAAAATATAACGTGTTTGAAAACTAGCTGCTATCTTAACATGGTGGGTTTGAGTCCTATGAAAGATGCAAAACTTTTAAAAACACGATATTACACTTTAAAAGGGAGGAACATTGATAGCATAATATAATAATATTCAATCAAACTTGAACGTTATTGCGGTTACATATACTTAAAAAAAGTGATATTGCACAGAGTATCAATCATGTCAACTGTATTCAAAACTACTACAGTCATTAAGAGGTTTAAAAGGGTTATTTTTGTAATTATATAGGTGCTGGGTTTGTTAAATGTGATTGTTTTATTCGTAGTCACATCACTTAAAATGAATGCAATGTTTCCCACAGTGAAACAAGTGAAATTGTTGCCCGCTCATTTTGATGTCATAACAAATAAAGCAGCTATGGAGTCGAAAACCAAAAAACATTTCTCGAGATTGTTAAGCAACGAAATTCAGCTATTAATTGAGCAAAAAAAAATGATTCAGAAAACACACGGAATTTGACCAAAAATGCTGTGGTTACCCATTTTGCAACGGAATTTCGCCGAACGATTCTCTCACCGAAAGCGTTGATTTTATTGAAAAACTGTCGAAATCTATTATTATTGTTCCTGTAGATGTTGTACCCCCCAAAATAAAGGGCGTTTAATTATGTGTTGGCAGAAATTATTTTGCACAATAATGTAATTAGCATTCAAAACAGATTAATAAACTTGACAGTTCTAACCCTCTGGATTTTCATAGGATTTGTAAAGTATTTAAAGCAAAACAAGTCTAAAGTACCATCATAAACTGATTTTCATCTTAAATTTATTACACAAAAGCCTAGTACAAAACGACATTAACAGAGTTATAACAGCCTTAATATAAAAACGTAATCATTTTTATCAAAAGTGGCAAAGCACATAGACACGCGTCACAGGTAAACCAAAATTATCCAGGCGGAATAAATAGCTATTGCAGATTAAAATATCTTACGCAGATTTTATTTTATCATTAAAATGTCACAGAATTATTTGTGCGGGTTCCGTTTTTCAGGGGACAGCCTGAAAAACAAAATACAAAACAAAACTAGCCCTTTTCCCTCGGAAGCATACATTAAGAGCATTTATTTTTACATGTCAGCAATAGTTTGCAGGGGACGTTTTTCAGGGGACAGTTTGCAAACGTTTGCAAATAGTTTGCAAATAGTTTGCAAACGTTTGCAAATAGTTTACAAACGTTTTCAGGGACAGCCTGAAAAACAAAATACAAAACAAAACTTGCCCTTTTCCCTCGGAAGCATACATTATGAGCATTTATTTGCTATTATAATTTTACTAATGTAGATATTTGCAATTCAGCCGCAAGGCTGCAATTAATATTTTAATAAACTACCTACCTACCTACCTACCTACCTACCTACCTAGTGCATGTAACTCGTTTCAGCATCGTAGCTCTTCAAATTTCTAGAGCTTTAGATGCAGGCCCACTCGGGCGTCTCTCAATCTGGGTCGGGGTTCTTTACAATGTTTCTACAAGAAAAGTATTTCTTCGGTTGATTAAGATTTGTGGTTTGTTTGTATTAGAGTCTTCAACAATTTTGATGCTGTGACATTTAATCATGTATTTGAAAATAATTAGTGCTGAACTCATTTGGAGGGGGCGCTCTTTAAAAAATGATTGCGATTGCAGCGCTCATTCGAGGGAGACGCTCTTTTATGGGGCGGCACTAATACAAAAACTGAACCTACTAGTGCGTTGTGATTAGCTAATGGAGACTAGAGCCATTCTGTTAACTAGGTTGCTTAGGAAAACTCCTAGGTTGGTCGAACACAGTTGTTTCTTAGCCTACGTCATATACCCAAACTTCCTGTAAGGGTATTTAAAATATTGATGAAAGGCGCCAACTCCGCGCACAAAACATATCCGTTTGAGCTGACACATAAGTTATACTGCTTTGTTCAAGTTAATAACGGCTTCAAACTCTGTTCTGATCTCATCTTTCAGAAATTTCATATCATTTTTGGCAGAAGGGACTCAGCGACAAAAACTACAAGCAAATTATTTGAGATGTACTACCACACAGCAATTATACATTTTACAAAAGCTTTTCAATTAGATGTCTGCGAATTGAAATTAAAAATAAATTTTAAGTATAAGGTACGAGAGTGAAAGGTTTTCCTTAATATTGCATAGACCCTTACGAATGGTATGGCCCAGATGTGCCCGTGCTTCTTTTCCTTTTTACTTACATTCTACTAAAAATGCTTTGCTTTCCTTCACCAAGAGGCTTCAGTAATTTGAAATGTGCAATATTTAAAGTTGTTCATGTTTTGTACCCTTATGCGATCTAATTCATCATCTACATTTAATGTGCCTATATCACCTTCAAAGATGAGTTATAAATATTTATAAATATTTTATAAATAAAAAATTTGATCTTCCTTGACTATTTTGGGCCTCAAAGTTGGCTTTTTTCGTGTTTGACCGCGAGGCGGCGCTTTGATGGGTCTAGTTCACCAGTTGCGACCTTCAGTGTAGAGCAGGCTGCTTTTTAACGCTGTAGTTTATAGTGAAACTTGTAGCAAAGTAAAGAAATTTTTTTTCATTAAACTAAAGTTATATTGTGCACGTTGTTATTGAATCACACTGTAATTCTATAACGTTATAAAGCAGCGTGTTCTCCAATGTAGGTCACGTCGGTAAACTAGACCCAGCCACAGCACCTCACGGTCAAACACAAAAATGCCAACTTTGATGCCCAAGCCGAGGAAGGTCAAATTTTCGTCTTATAAAATGTTGCAAATGCTATTAAAATAGTCAACTCTATATAAAGAGATAATTTCCTAAGGGTGATAAAGGAACTTTATTCGATATATCATAAAGATGAGTTGCGACAAAGAATTTAACAAATCGTCAATTTTGAAGATCCTTTATTTAAATAAGCGTGTAAATTAACAAAAAACAACTTCCTTCCAAAAGAAAATTCTTCTATCAGAAATGTTACACACTTTATCTTAAAACCTTAACTTTTGGAAGAACCACTTGTTTTTTCCAGCTTTGTACCTGAAAAAAACAACAATACTGTTAAAAAAGCGCCGAATGACAATGCAAATCAATTGACCTAACTGATCCCACATTCTTCATAATGCAAAAGTTTGTATTTACGAATAATGTAGCAGGAATAAAATTTGTCGTATTTTTAGATTACACATAAGTTTCACTCATATCATTGATATGTTTGATATGAATAGAGAATCGATATGTCTGGACAAGACATAGCATAAGCAATGTACCCAATGCAATCCACCCCCCAAATTGTTTCGTTTGCGCGCATAATCCCGTTATAGTATTTTACTGATATTAGTTTAAACTAAATACCTCAAACTATCATACAAATCCAGGCTTTGCAATGAGACACACGCGATGGCAAAGGCTGTTGCTAATGGTCATAAGGTCAAAATGACAGTGAGCATTAGCTAACAGCCTAGCACATGTGAAAGGATACGTGTCAAATTATACTGGGAATCCCATGCAATGTGCAGAGTTGTTAGAATTAGTCTTTTAAATGCAACTAAAAAACCAACACGGCTAACTGCTCAAAAATACAATTACAAAGGACGTACAAATATACACGTTAATAGCTATAAATAATACAAGTAGTAGCGTTGCCACCCAGCAAGTTTGGTTCTGTTATTCAAATTTTTATGCGTTTACTTACACGGAAAAAACTTGCGGGCTGCGCAACTGAATCCAAGTCAGAAGTGTATTAACTTATCGGTTGAGTAAACACAATGTCATACAGACATAAACGTCAGAAAGTTGTGGCAAAAGAGAAGTGGTTGAAGATATAATATTACCAGTAAAAAAAAGGTTTTCGGTTGCATTTTGCAAGGAGACATCACTTTCCATTGGTCAAACACGTGAGCACGCGAGACAGGCAATCGCGTGAATAGTAGACGAAAAATACAGTTTTCGGAATAGAGCAAACGGGACTCGTGAGAACGATACTAGTTTGTAACATGTAAATTGTATGATGAACTGGGTTGTAATAAAACTATATTGGTTTGAAATCTTATGAAAAATATTCATTAACTATATTTTGTAGCCATACACCCAAACTTATTTTTAAAATTTGGAGTTAATGGCATTAAAAATAAAATATTACTTAAATTTTGTTTACCAATCTACTTCATTTTGAAGCACTCAATTTTTACCTGGCTACACACATGTGTGTGACATGTACCTATTTTTCTAGCACTCAATTTAAACAACAAGTATTTAAATTTGAGTTTTAAACGCAACTTAAATTTTTGCCAAATTTAAACAGCCATAAAACCGACCAACATAAAACGTTTTCACTTAATGCGTTAAAGTCGTATTTAAATTTAGTATAGCAAAATAAAAAAAAGTACTTTAGAAAGGGCCACTTTAAAAATGATGTTTTTCAAGAGGGCCGTGGACGACGACAGTTCTACGACAATGAGTTGCTAACTTTATCAAGTACGTGTATGTTATTTAGTGAACAGTTGTTTTTACAATTAAAAATGTTCATGCAACAAACAACATGCGCAGTTGGAATAAAAATTATAATGAATCAGAAGAAATCATTTCTGACCTCATTTGGTAATGTTCAACACATGTACGGACGCGACACTTAAATGCATATGAATTTATGTACATTCATTTGATCTCACAAAGACGTTCATTCATGCTTAACCGACAAGCAATTTTGGTTTTCCAAAGAAATTCATAAAACATCTTGTCAATTTTTCTTAAATATAATACAAATGGCCATCAACAAAATGCTTGCGATAAATGTGATAGCAATAAGCAAAAAAATAGCAAAGAAAGTTTTTAAAATGTAGAACACCAGAACGAAAAGTATTAATATAATAAGTAAGAAAGAAAAATAAATAATTCTATACTCCCGCTCAAAATATAGCCTAAATCCTAATGGATTAAAATTCTGGGTTTCCAGTGTCCAAAGAAATATGCCCCTGCAAAGAAATTTCCATGAAAGGCCCCAGCTCACATTTCCTGGAAACATGCCACTCCCTCCCCGACGATCGTGAATTTGTCCAGCCTGATTTGAAATTTGATATTTACAACTACTTAGAAAAGGGAATTAGTGCCTTTATTGCATTTAGCCAAAGACAGCACAGTCACAAAGTAATTTGTGGTTCGTGCATGTCTACTGAAACCGTTTTTGAAACACGAAGGAACGCCGAGACATCATACTGAATGATTAAATATACTGATTGAGTTGGTGAAATGGTTTTGGGAAACGTGTTGAGTCGTACAAGCCATTGTCCTTATGTGTTTGTGCATTTATTTCTACTTATCCTTTACAAGAAAGGTGACTATAAACATGTTTGCCAACAAGTGATGTCAACGCTAAAGTGCGACAGTTTTTCTGAATGGCTTAAAATTTGACTGAATTTATACGCAAATAATTTGAAATAACTTTGATTTCTTAAGATCTTGGCTTTGAAAAACAGTTTCACTATTTTCGAGATAGGAGAAAATGCTTGTAAGGGGCAAAATTTAGGAAGAGGGGGGACAGGGAGGACAAACTTCATGGGACACCCACACAATTGAAATTTCAGGTAAAAAAATCACTACCTTTCTTCAAATTTCACTTTAACTTCGTTTCTCGCTTTTCGTTTGAGAGCAACGTCCTTTAACACGTCCTTGTTAACAACACCTTTATCTATCTGGACATCGACAGAATACCTATAATATAGATAGCGTTAGAGTCAAAACGTCATCTTGCCTTTTCGAACAAGGAACCGTCAATGTAAAAGCTAGTGTAAAATACAGAAAAACATTGAAAGGAAGGTATGGCCATAGAGCTGGCAAAGAAACATTTCAAACCAACTTGTATGGTAGGCTAAAATGTCAATGGCAGTGTGAATCGGTATTTAAAAAATAAAATACTGTGCTTGCACAGGCTTAAGCAAACACGAAAAAGAAATTTTTTTCTTTATAAAATAACAATAATGCGAAACAGACAAATATAAAACAAACGTTTTACTTTTCTTTTAAAATGCATAATGCACGATTGATTTGCAAATCGTCATTGATTGACTTGACTAATTGAGCTCAGATCTGTTTGCAAAGGCTAAAGCAAACACAGCTATAGACAAAGCAGCACACGCGTTTTATTGTGTTTATTATATCATATTGGATTTAACCAAGCACGTACGTATAATTAATTAGCAAAGTTACCGTATCAAAGTTCAAAAAGTATAAGACACTTGTCAATAGGACTCAACAAACGTTCACTTTTGTGGGTAACATTGGTGACGTGAAGCACAATTGCTTTTATATCTTTGGGCAGAACAGTAAAAAACTATAGCAGCATATGTTGTCAGAAAGATATAGAAACTACATAAAACAATATATTCAATACAGTCAACTCTCGCTTTACGAACACCACGTTATTGCTGTCATACTGCTATTACGGACAGAAGCAAAATCCCTCACTGAAACTACTATAAAATGTATTACAATTACTCTCTCTACCATATGAATCATATTTATCAGGTTAATAATAAGTTGATCAAACTTATTGCGAGTAATGTTTTAGTGAGACACCTAAATCATGTTTTTCATTTGTCAACTTAATAATATCATATAAAACAATATCTGTAAACGTTCCACTCACTGTGCTACTAACTGCCATGAGCAGTAAACGTCAAATCGAATCACAGAGTCCCGGCCTGGCCAGTTTAAAAGGTGAAAGGTCTACTTAGTTCTGTTTGTTCTCCACTCTTCCTCCTCAACTTGCCAACGATGACTGAATAAATTCAAGAACGATATCAAACCAAAGAAACACAAAATAAGTAGAAATAAGTAGACCTTTCACCTTTTAAACTGGCTATACCGGTCACAGACCCGGGACTCCGTGATTCGATTTGACGTTTACTGCTCATGACACTTAATAGCACAGTGAGTGGAGGGTTTACAGATATTGTTTTATATGATATGCTTTTAAGTTGAGAAATGAAAACATGGTTTAGCTGTTTCACTAAAAACATTACTTGCATAGATTTTCAGTTCTATCCATGTATGTACCTTTCACTAAATATTACAAGTCATTAACAAACGTTTTAATAAAATAAACCAGTAATCTTATTTAGCACCCCGGCTGTTATTGTAGACTCTCACTATTGACGACACTCAAAACAGACGACTCTCACTGTTGACGACGACTATCACTATAGCGGACTCTCACTATTGAGGGCTCTCACTATAGCACCCTCTCACTATTACGGACTCTCACTATTACCGACTTTCACTATTACGGATTCTCACTATTACGGGGATTCTCACTATTACGGACTTTCACTATTACGGATTCTCACTATTACGGAATCTCACTATTACGGATTCTCACTATTACGGATTCTCACTATTACGGACTCTCACTATTACGGACTCTCACTATTACGGACTCTCACTACTACGGACTCTCACTATAGACGACTCTAGCCATTGCAGACTCTAGATACATTGTTCTCTTTAAGCAAACTAAGCATAACCCAGATATTCATTGAAAACAATCTTCTTTTGCAATTATAAGGAAAATTACAGCCCCTAGCTAGGATTACGTGCATAAAATTACCATAAATGATTTCTTATTAAATATCATATAGCTTTGAACCCAAATGACATCTACGTAGCTATGTATATAAAGTTCAGTTTGAGGAATGTACAAACGTGCGCAGGGACAAATTTGTAGGCAATAATGTTACACAATGATTATTCAGCGCGTGAAAAAAATTTTCAAAAGGCAATCCATCATACGTGCAGTTCACACTCAAGTTACCAAATTACAACATGATACAAGACGACGAAAATGTTCGAATTACAATTCAGGGCCACAAAAATTATTAATTGGAATTTGCTAACTTAGATATAAATTTCCGAACTTCTAAGATACGTTGCACGTTGTTTTCACAAGTGACGAGCAGTTTGATTCGCCAGCATGATTGAAACGCACAACGTTGAACGCAATGCTCACGCCATTTGAAAAGTTTATTAAAACACGTAATAAACTTTTCAAAAACACCCCGGACTTTTTTACTTTAAAATGCAAGGTCAGCATAAATTGGCCGAACTTGGACACTGACAAGTAGAACAACAAAAATCAATCGATTGTAAAATGCAATCTACTCAACCATGAGCAAGGAAATTACTCAATAATCATAATAACAGGTTCATCATACAATTCTTCTAAAAGAACAGCAAATATCTTGTATTCATAAGAACACTACAATCAAAAGGGTAGAAAATTGGCCGGCAAAGAGAACAAAACAACACTATACCTGGTGGGCATGATGTGATTGTAGTTGATAACTTTTACGAATGGCTTGATTTTGCATCGCCTAGCTGTTCGTTTCTTCCCCATCTTTTTGTTGATCTTCAAAGGATATCTGTCAATACCAACAACCAAAGCATGACCATACGGTTTGTCAGTAGTTGCTTCATCATAATTCTTTACAATTACAGCCTTCCGACCAGCATAACGCCCATTCAGGATGAGTACAACTCGATTGGATTTCATGAACTTTCCCATTGTCTGAAAGAAGTTGACATAGGTTTTATGAATATTTGATCACAAAAGGACATGGCACTTGAAAATAACTTTTGCTGACATAAACAAAGACAGAGATAACATAATTTTCTCCATTTCAAATATAGCTAATGGTATTTGAGAAACTAATATTTGTGAAAAGCTTAAAAAAGAAATGATGCTAGGTGGATATGATTTTGTTAGATAAAACAATTCATGGCATACTGCACAACAAACATGATTTAAAACCAAATTAATAGGAACAAATTGACATTTCGTAAGCTCTATGTAATATTAACTAATGGGAATAATTGGCAATAGGAGACAAACAAAAGTTTTGAGTCACACAATGTACACAAAAGGTTCATGGACTGTAAAGGTCATTTGGAGACAAAGATTTAACATACTTGACAAAAACTAAAAAAAACTAAAGTGTACATGTTCTAAATGCTGAGAAATTTAAAGAAATCAGAATCAGGCAGATTGAGATATCAATTTCTACACTTCAACAATACAACATCACAAGTGAAATTGACTGCAAGACAGTTGATTAATACACAATGTGTTTCTAAAAACTTTACTGTTATTACTCACTCATAAACTTCAGCAAACAAACCCAATACATGATAATGATTTTGCAAATTATTCAATAAAATAAAACAAATAGGCCAGTTTTACTACATATCATAGAGCAGCCAAATGCAAGGTAACAAATGCCTCAGTACTCGATGAGTAACCTAGCCACACACAAAATTAACACAATTGCTGTTGGTGTGTAATGCTATTATGAAGAGAAATTTGCCTGTTTGAAAACCGCTTACATTCCAGAGTGGTGGTAAATTACTAGCTGTTAAGAGCACTTCAAAAATCTAGCAAACGCACAAGTCATCGTGAAAGTAATCCATTACAGATCCATAGAAAATACACCAAAATCAAATCAACGGAATAATACTTTGATCAAAACAACTGACAACTCAATATTCGTTAAGGTATATAAACCTCTACGCTAAAAATGGAATACTTGCAACAGCTGCACAGTTAAGTTCGCTGAAAGCATTTTATACCCTAGCTTATGTAGTATAATAAACTTCAAGAGAAATAATTTAGAGAAAATGCTATATTCTCTCATAAGTGATTGCTAACAGTGCCATATACTTTATTGTATATATTCCTTCGTTTGTATTTATACTAGCCAGAAAAGTCACCATTACAAAAATAAAAACACATAATTTATTCTAGAACAGATTAAAAACTACAACAATACAGCATGCCAAAGGATTGCAAAGGATTTTAGAGAAGTTCGTAGTATACTCTACCTCAAAGTTTACGATTTAGAAAAGGAAAAATTATCTATCCGCTGGTGCAAATATTTTGCGGGCTCCATACCAATGTCGTTTGATTACATCTCCCAGAAAGTGGCTATTTATAGAAACGAATTTTTGACTAAAGGCTCTTTTCCACTCATCGCAAATGCTCTCGCTGCGAGCTTGCGAGGAGTATCAGCTCGCGCTGCCAATTTCCACTCTTTGCTTTGCTTCATAATATATTACATGGCGGTTTGTTTTTGCTTACAATATGGCGGCTGTTGTCAATCGCCGTATTTTGTTATTACTGTATTTAAGACGTCGTATGCGAAGATGCAAGAAGTATAGAAAGCGTTTTTGGGTTAGGCCGATATTCGAAAGACGACAACAGCATGGGGAATACTTCAGATTGGTAAAAGAAATGAAAGAAGAAGATCACGAAAGCTATTTCGCCTACTTCAGAATGCTCCCTTGACATTTTGATTTTTTACTGTCTCTGGTCGCGCCTCTTATCTCTAAATGCAGCACAAGAAGGGATGCTATTTCTCCGTCGGAAAGACTTGCTTTGACTTTACGTTATTTGGCGTCGGGTGACAGCCCTCAAAGCTTATCATTCAGCTACAGGATTGGTTTGACAACAGTACATAAAATAATTGGTGAAGTTACAGAAGCAATTTGGTCTACTCTCTTTAAGAAAGGATATATTAAAGCTCCAGAGAGTTCTTTTGAGGGAAAAGTAGCAGAAGAGTTCGAAAAGGTGGAACTTTCCTCACTGTTGTGGAGCAATGGATGGAAAGCACATTAGAATGCAAGCTCCCCCATCAGCTGGTAGCAGATATTTCAACTATAAACTGTGGAATAGTATTGTCCTACTTGCAGTTGTAATAATAATAATAATAATTGAACTTGTATAGCGCTCATATCAACAATTCATGGTGCTTCACAAATAAAAGAAAATAAATATCAAACTTATATAAAAGCAGTAATAAAATGTCATTTTTCATTAAAGATCACGTAAAACCAAATGAAACAAAGTTTTTAAATAAATGGCTTTTCAGTTCTTTCTTGAAAGATTGAATTGAAGAACTTTTCCTAATTTGAAGTGGAAGATTATTCCACAGTTTGGGTCCACATATCCAGGTAAACACCTGACAGAAGAAAAAAGGGTTTTCAATTATCGCTTGTCAAGGGCAAAGATTGTTGAAAATGCTTTTGGCATAGCCGCATCACGCTTCCGCATCTTAAGACAAGAAATTATTGCCCATCCGAGCAAAGTCCATCTTACAAAGCGTCATTTAATTTTTTTGATTTTTTTTGAAAAAATTAAAATTTAATTACAATTATAACTACAACATACAAATATTAATGTTAAAACTAAATCAAATATAACTAAAATCAATGTTTAAAATATCCATGATAAAGGGACAGTCAAGTGTAAAGACAACTTTCCCAATAACCTAGGTCAATATTTAAAGTATGTTCGCGAGTTGAGGCAGATCGACTTCCTCGTATCGCAGTAATTGCTGACCTAATCAGTGCGAAAGACAGTTTACAACGCATCCACGCTACCGTGATGCCATATTGCAGCTTTCTTTGTGCCAGCAGATCAGCTAGCCGTTTATAAGCAATTGCCGTCTCTTTCCCATACCACCTGATGTTGAAAAGACCAGTGGTGTAAAAGTAGCATATTCAATCTCTCTTACTCGATCACCATATTCCTTTTCTTAGCCATCTCATGTTGACGATAGAGTGCAGGTAGATTGGTGTTTTGGTAGCTCGACGCGTTTGGGTGAAATACCCTTACATCAAAAAATGCATCTTGCTGTCTAGACCAAAACCTTTAGCACAAATATCTAGTCTCGCTTCTTCTTGTCTATTGGCTGTACGAGGTAATATCACTTCCCCAGAAAGAGGTTGTAATTGTGGCTCTTTCACAACTGTCGAGCAAACTTATGCCATCCACTGTGCTGTTATACCTCGAAATTCATTATCGTTATGGTTAGTAAACCACCATGAGGCATATCATCGCGTGATCGGTTGCAAAAGCCTTTCCACAAATGCAGTGCAGAGGGGTACTTTTCAATTGCCATCCATAACGTAAAATAAATGCATCTCGAAATTCCCCTTTGTTCACATTAAATCCTTGATCTTGTAATGGAAGTACACTTAACCATGATGACGATCCTTTTTCGCTCAGTATATCTAGCTTCCTTTGCACTGTTGGCATAAAACTATCTCTTATTTCCTGGATCATATTATCAACTTTCTTTTTTTTTTGCTCTCGTTAAATCATTTTTATTGGCTAATGGACATTTGTCAAATGGACATTTAGTTCGCGCGATGAAAAAATTTTGTTGAAATATTTTAACTATGCTCCAGCTCATGGTAAGCTCGCTGCGAGTAACTTGCAGCACTCGCAGCGAGCTTGCGAGTACGTTTTGCGATGAGTGGAAAAGAGCCAATAGTTCAGTTTTTGCAACTATTTTTTTCTCGCAACTATTTCAAATAAAAATTCACCAATGAAAGAAAGCTATTGATCACGTGGCATCGTTTTTTAGCATTATGTTATTTTCCCCATTTTTTTCAAAAAACAAACTACAAAATGTCGGATAGACAAGAACGAAGCGAAAGATGGAGCGATAAAAAGATCGAACTTTTAAGACTTTTTCAGAAAATGTAAGAAATCAGAATTTACCTTCAGGTTCTGGAACAGGAAAAGAAATAAGATAGAAATGGTTTAGAAGCATGGATTTCATCAAGGAAACCATATTGCACAGAGCCACTTCAAGCAACCTCAGTTGCAACCAAAGCAGTGAAAACTTCATGAAATTGAGGAGGAAGATATTGCTATGAGTGATTCAAATGAAATTGAGCTACACAGCATTGGAGCACTAACATAAACTCCAACTACAGAGAAAACAAGAGAGGGTTGGAGTTAAGTCCAGTTGGAAAAAAATTAAAGAACCCCATAAAAGGAAAACTTCTGTGGATCGAAAAATTGACCTAGAAATATTAAAATTTTAAAGCGGGTGAAAAAATGGCAATGCCTGTAGAAACCAAGGCAATTCAGTAGAGGATGATTGTATGGCATTTGGTAAATATGTTGGAGTCACATTTAGCAAGTTTGATAATTATCACAAATCATTAGCCAAAATGAAGATAGCACAAGTTTTGTTTGAGGTGGAATCCAGTTTGACAAATTTTTCACAAGTCCTTGACCAAAAAGACAAAGAGTAAATCAACTATATCATAAACTGTCTTCAAACATTGTTATAAAGCTGAATTTCTTTGTAAATGATTATGTAATTGTAAAGGAGAGCTGTTTTACTGTTTGCACATGTTATATTCTATATATTTGCTTTCAGCTTTGGTTTTAAGAAACAAGACAGGGTTATTTCCAAACTATATTAACATAAACTACATCTAATTTAATAAAATTTACTTAAAATGTCATTTGCTTTAGAGAAAAAAACTGAGTTTACATTAGCAATAGTTAAACTTGTAAGAATGAAAAATACCCATGCAGAGAGGAAAAGAATGTTGAAAGAATAAATCATAGTCATTCAAGGTTCCCATTAAAAGATATATGATTTTGCTGCCATGGAACTTCAACTTCTGGTTTTATGAAATACTCTTTAAATTGATCTCGTACTTCTGAGGCATCTTTCTTATAAAAATTTGAGCCTTGTCTCCCAATTAACT